TTATTTAAAGATATTTTAACGATTTTGTTGACGGAGGACAAAAAATGGTCATGCCACAATTATACTAGGACCCAAGATGGATGTATTGATAAAGGACTAAAAATAGATCATCACCTATAAATCTATGACTAAAAATAGAATTTGACTCTAATATGAGTTATAATATAAATATCACGATGTGGCAGCAATGATGTCAGCGCCACATAAACTAAGCTAACGAAAATATTAACACCGTTAATTATTGTCCTTAATTTCACTACTTTTTAAAATAAAAGGACTAAATGGAATAGAATAAAGATACAAAGACTAAATTGAACAAAATACTATAGTACAAAGACATTATAGGTACTTTGACACACAAGAAGGAATAAGGGAATAAAAGGAGATGATATTTAGGTATGAGTTTTTCAATTAAGAGGGTATTTGAAACCCATAGTAGTAACACGTGGACCATAGTCTTTTTTTTTTTTTATCGGGTGACGCGGAGATTTGAACTCATGACCTTTGGCTCTAATATCAAATTGAAGCATGTGCTCCATCTCAATTAAAAGCCTAAGCTAATAATTAGATTGCACATTTAATGGTTATATGCTCATGTTCTAAAAATCTATCAACCAAACAATAACAATTACTTTGATACTCATTCCTTAAAGCTAAACCTGTCAACCAAACACACCCCTAGTCTTTTGATGAAAGTATTTTGCACTTTTGATAGTATGGTAGAATTGGAATGATTTCCAAATTGATGTTTGGACGTTTGGTTATATGACCCTATAATGGGAATAAATGTTTTAAAAATATGAAAACAAAAAATCAAGGCAATTGATCCTAATACAATGACATCCAAAGCATCAATATGAAAAAAAAAAATCAAAACTAAAACCTAAAAGTACTAATCCAAACTTAAAAGTTAGATTACCAGTAATGGAATAATACCCTTTTTTAATTAAGAAATGAAATTTTTAATTGAAGGGGTAATCAAAACTCATAGTTGTGTTTTAAAAAGTTCTCAACCAAACACTAACTATGAATTTGATTCTCATTCCTAATGTGTAAACCCATGAACCAAACACACCCTAAAATCTTTCTAGTGTAGGATAGAGGAAACTTACCAACTTTTATATCCATGGAGCAAGAGGATTCAGAATTTGTTTCCAAAGACCACCTACAATGAATCTGATGAAAGCAAATGTACTCAGCAATCAAGTTGAATAAACACACTAAAAATTAGAATATTTCTGCATAGAGAGGGTTCAGATATAGTTCACACATCCAATTCAACACTATGAAAAATCAACTCAAAATAACTCTATTGGTCAAAGTACATGGGTTGGTTGGTAAAAATAAATGAGGTTCTGATAGGGAACTAAGGTATCCAAATTGCATGATCTTGGAGAGCTAAAATCAAGGATTTAAAGATCGATTGATTACCCTTGATTGAGTACTTATGTTTGATTGGTTCTCACCTTTTTTTAAAAAAATATTTTTATGGACTATAAATAACACCTTCTCTTCAAAGGTATGTATGCAGAAAATTATTAATAGGAATCAACTTTAGTTTTTTTTTTTTTTTATAAAAAAAAAAAAATAAGCAAGGGAGGACGGAGCCCCGGAAAAACAACAAAACTAACAAAAGTAGTCACCACGGGCATGAGGAAATAGGAATCAACTTTAGTTAAGGGGCAGGATATATTCTTGCTGGGAAGTACGATTTGTGTCTCTTCTATATTGTCTCTCTTTTTCTTTTTTTTTTTCCTTGCAATATATCTATTTTTCATTCCTTTGTTCAAATCTATCTGTCTGCTCTTTACTCTTATCAGGTTTTCATAAGTTATGGCCAGGTTTCTACCAAAAATAAATACAGAAAGGAAGCATAGAAGTAAATTCACTCATGTCAAGTCAGTAGATTGCAACTAGCATACTATTTAAGAAGTGTTAAAGAGTCCCACATTGAAAAAATTAAGAGAGAATATATAGGTTTATAAGGTCATGAGTTAGATTAGCTAATTGATTGGATTTAATCTTTTAGTGTAGTTTGGCCCATGTGCATTACAGCTTAATTGAGTAACTCTGACCCAATTCTAAAACTATATAACAAGAAGAATCTTGCCAATACACCATACTAAAGAGCTAGTTACCGATAAATGTGAGAACCAAGAAAGTCCTAAACTATTTCTTAGCAATAAAATCTATAAGATTTAAAAGTAAACACAATCATATTTTGGGAATCAGAAATCAAATGAAAATTGTGAAATTTTCTATATCCACTTTTCTATCAACTTCTAAAGCTATATATCCTGGTTCAAAAGATGCAAGATGGATGAAAAAAACCTGTAAAGAGATAATCATTGACAATTCTACATGTTTCAGTGTGGCTCTCATAACTAATTATCATAAAGACACTTCAAGTAGTATAAAAACATAGGGCCACAAATTTGTAGTTTTGAGCAAAATCCACAAATTTGAGTTCACAAACATAGGATAAAAATAAAAATAAAAACAGTTGTAGTTTTGAGCAAAAATCCACAAATTTGAGAACAACGATATGAAACCCATAGCATGATAAATACAAGCTTAGCCTACCTCAAAGTAGGATCCAAATGGTACATCAAGCGCCTGTTGTACAGTCTCGAACACCTGGAATAGTAAAAATATTATCAAAAAAAAAGAAAAATAAAAGGGGGAAATTTCTAAATGCAAAGTGGAATTATGAGAAAAATTACAGCAGCACCGGCTGTTCATGGAAAGGTTATGATAATAATACTTACCAGCCATTTTTTATCAGGTGATAGAACAGCATGTTGATATTCTGTCATGGCTGTATCCGGTGGACACATTGGGCTGGTGCAAAGAGATCTGAATTTAATTTCTCTGACTTGACCATCATACTCTGTGGCAGAATGCCACTGACCCATCTTTAAAAAGAAACAAAGCCATACGACTATCCTTAAATATTAGTATCATGTTTACATTTCATTACTTCAGAAACTCAACAATATGGGAATACATTTCTAAACAATATGGGAATGAACATAATGCAACCTTCCCAATGTATACTAAGTGCCTAATTTCTGACCAGCACATATGATCTTATAAATAGATATTCAAGTACATTTTATCATCAATCTTGGAACTTACAGTGAGATTGGAATCCTTTCGTGCTGCACGGTATTCTTGTGTGAAATTTGAGCCATCACTCAGCAGTATTCCAAAGAATTCCTCAGCAGTGCATGGGAAAATATCCTAACATTTTTCATAATTTATCAGAAGAAATAAATAAACTATTTGTTATTTAAACAATAGATTTATGTCCAAGAAAGGATGAGTTTGAATATAAGACATACATTATATATACCAGAAAGCACTTCCTCTTTAATGAACGATTGGAACTTATCTGCCTTTGGCACACTTTCCTCTGGACTCTGAGGTAGTTGATTACCTCCCTTAATAGAGCTGCTATGTGCACGTAATGCTGATTGTTCCCTCTCCTGTGTAAAAGTGGATGGTGAAAAAATGAGTACAGTTTTCCATTGATATTAGTAACCCAAGTAGATAAAGCTTGACCAACAAAGCAACATATACGCTTTGAGTCCATATGGATTATGGTTTTATTCTTCTCTGGAGTGTTAAATGAGAATATTAGATCCAAAAAGAAAAGCCTAGTTCCACTTTTTAAAAATCATGACCAAGTAAATTATGGATACATATAATGCAGAAAGACTAATCAACATCTAGAAAACAAACCCTTTTCTCAGCTTCTAACATTGCATGATAGTTCTTTACTGCACGTTGCAAAACTCGCAGTGTATTGTTTCTGTTCCAAAAGGAAGCAAATTTATACCTGACCCTACCTGAAAATAGAGGAAGGACAAGTGATTCATTCCTTGGCATCCTTACAAACATAAACATGGATCAGCTTAAAATTAGTATCTAAAAATTCTATATAGGTCCATAAAAATACTATAGCTCTAACACCACTTCAAGTTGAGATGATGAATTACATGCTGACTGCTTTCACTTTTCAGGTAATCATGATCAAATAAGCTCAGATAATAAATAACATAAAAAGAGGGACCAAAATGAAAAGACTGAATGTTTCCATCCTGACTCAACACGGTGTAACAAAAATTAGCACAAATAGTATCTTGTGCTCAATCAGTGCATTGTGTAATAAAATATGCTCACACTAAGAATGAACATATTTGGGTTGTCATTTCATAATTCACCAATAAATTTGACTAATTTTACTCTCCCATTCCCTAAAAGTTTGGGATCAAATACATAGCCAGTAGTCACTGAAGCATTGATGAATTAAACATAGATCAGTTAGACCATTAATTAACCATCAAAAGACAGTGATTTTCCTTGTAAGTATTCTTGAATGCACACCATATTTTATAATTTCTCTTTCGATAGGCTATCCTTGTTTTCAAACTATATGAGCATAAATAGGACCCAATACAGAAATGGGATGAGGAATGTAATCATCAGACATCTTGGAGAAGAAATATATCCTAGACCCTTGTGATATTGAGAGCAAATATAATCTAAATCCTAAATCAAACTCAATAAAACAATTTTTTTTAAGGATAATAAAAATAGGCATGGAATTTTAATTTACCTGATGTAGAAACAAACAGTTAAAAGAAGGTAATGTGAATTAAATAAATGCAAGTTGACCTTTTCAGCGAATGCAATGGAAAAATGAAATACAGGCAAGCAGCTGTTGCAAAGAAAATATTTCTTGTAACTTGAATTACTAACCATCAGGGTTTCCTAAAGGTGGCACACCATGGCCACCTGCACCCACACGGAGAATTATTGTGATGGCAGGGTTAATGAATGCATGCTGACTCCTCCTAATCTGGAATGCAAAATAAAGAATTGATGAAATACAATAACAGTCCAGAAGCCACCAACAGAAAGACTCATATCACATTAACACCAAACAGGCACAATCATAATAAAGTGTGAAAGAAAATATATACCTCATCTATTTCACCAAAAGGAATGATTACCTGAAAACAAGAAACACAAAGACATTTAGTATATTTTGAAACAGGGAAGAAATTGGTAATCTTATTACATAAAATGTTGGTCCAGATGTTGAGATGATGATAAAGAACGTATAGGAAACACACTTCCTGAAAAGGAATAAAAGTTAAAAACCTTCAACTGTCTAGTTATTTACATTGTAAAAGAACGTTACAGTCCTATGATGTTTGGTTCCATTGTGCACGCGTGCACACACAGAGGCTCCTTATGCTCAATATTTATTGTTCATGTTGCCCATTACAGTGTTAGTACTCTACATTTCAACTATCCATAACCATGTCCTAAAAGTCCATCAAGATGAAGAGAACACAAATTTTCAAAAGATCTTGCAGGTGTGTTCAGATAAAAAGCTGTAGAGTAGGTAATATGAACTGATTACATTTTTTTTTCCAAAAGTGAAACACAAACCATTGTACAATAGGGAAGGATGCCAACCTTCATTTGCTTTGAGAACACATTAGAGTGGAAGCAGATGTGCCATGAGGAGACATACATGCGCCCATGGTACAAAAAAGATCTCTCAAGTGCACAAGAATAACTATGTTCAACAACCTGGAATCTCCGTCAAGTTAGATGAGCAACTTGACTGTAGTAAACACTAGCAATTCCAAGTAGGTAATTATCCGAATCCTACAATTACAAACATTGACATAATCTAAAAGAAGATGAATAAATTCAAGAAAAATAATTTACCTCATCAGCAGGAAGTTCAAATATTGTTTGCAGTGGCCCTGGTTTCTGGTGAACTACTGTGGGCCCTTGTTTATCCAAATTAACTCTCTTTCGAGTATTAGGACCACCAAAGCCATTCAAACCCCTAGAAAAGAACAAAGAAAAATCATCACCCAGTTGTTTAAAACATTAATTTTTGACTGGTTAGACTCAATTTTGATGGTTACATTTCAACTTACAAAATCCAGCAATCAATTGCTTATTGGATCCAAGAAGTCCCAAATCAATTAGTTAGTAGGTAACTAGGGATACAAATTTCTCAGTTGCTTAGCAGTTACTTCACTTAGTTATTTTCATTCATAAGTATTCTTCCTATGGCCATAATTACAAGTCAAATCAACAAATTTTTTAAAAGTACAAATATAAGAAGTATGATGATAGAAAAGAAAAATATAGAGATAAATAACCTCACAAAAAGGAATAACTTAAGGCAGCACATCAATATATTATAGAGTTGCAACATGCATGATAGTAACTATTAGAACAAAATATCAAGATTCAAAAGATTAATTAACAGCCAAATAAATTGTTCTATTGTATATAGATATGATATTGAAACCAGCCTCATAAGAACTAAGGTTAATCTGCTATTTATTATTCAAAAGTTGCACACAAATTGTAAGTGTTTGCCTACCACATGGCCCTTTTTAGTTTTTCTCCCTTAAACCCAAACTCACATCATCTTCAAATAGTTTGACTATTCCATAGATAGAAAAGCAGCAATCCCTTGAGCCATTCTGGAGAAGAGCCTAAACATAAGACCGCCCCAAACATACAATACAACAAACCAGGCAGCACCAGACATCTGAATGGCTAAACAGGCAAGTCTTGTCCAAAAATATCTCAACAAAAAAAACAGCAAAAGCAATAGACTTACCTAAAAGAATTCATATTTGATTTTATTGTTTCAATATGAAGACATACCTGGAAAACAAATAAGACATGATTCAATTCCAGTACAAAGAAATCTTTGCACGCCCTTTAAAGACAAGATATATTATTATTCCAAAGCATTGAATATAAATAAACAACAGCTACCTGCCCTGATGGGCTATCCAATGAATGCCATATGGCTCCAGTAGGACCTTCATTTTCAACAAGAACAGTCACTGAACCAAGAACTGCACTTTTCCAAATTATATCCCAGTCATATATCGTCACGTTGATCTGCCATGAATTCAGTAATCAATAAAGATTTATATTGAAAAAATAATACAGAAACTGCAACAAATAATAAAATAAAAATAAAGCAGATTTCTTATGAAGCTCAGTTTGATAAACTAGAAATTATGTTGCATGCACAGGGCAACATGTACATGACATGGACATAAAAAATCTGAAAAATTAGAAAATGGACTTGACAGTTACGATAATCAACTATGTCGATCAACACCAACAACAGAAAATACCTTGACAGGAAGTTCATCAACAGAAAAGTTGAATTCCTCTCCCCACAAAGGATTTCTAGAACCAGGAACCATTGAACTGCAGCAGTAACAAAAGCATCAATTAAGCACACACATATTTACAACTAAAGTTGATACAACAATTGGGGAATCTTGGCCATCCATCTAAAACAATGAATAGTGAGATTTATGCCAAAAAAGAGGAGGTGGCATTTATGTAAATAAATAGAAGTTTGAATTAATAAACCATGCGTATTTATCCCAAAATAATGTGTGGTTAGGCTTCCTAATCTTTTCATCCGTATTT